CATCACAGCTTCTGCAGAAAGAGCTTTGGATAGTGGTGAGCCTTATACCTCTGCCTAGCAGACACTTGCCTGTGCCAGGCAGCTGATGGCAAGGTGACCCTGTACCCCCCACATACACCCTGCTTCTGCCTCCTAAGACTAGCAATCTGAGACAGCCAGGACCCTGCCAGACTCTTTCAGTCAAAACCACATTCCAGCCCAGAACAAGCAGGGCAGCAGGCCCCAGTGGGCATGGTCACTGCCCACTTCTCTTCAGCAAGAACTGGTTGAGGAAGTAGGCAGGTTTTTCTCCCATCTACTCACCCCAGAAGGTGAGCCTGGGAGAAAAACCAAGTCATATTTTCCAAGCTTCCATCTGAGTAGAGACTTTGCTCCACTTTCTCAAGCAGCCCAACATAGACCATCCTGCCCAGCTCATGGATGAAGATACTGAGGGTCACAGAGATTAGGAGGCTGAGATTGGCTCAAGGTCATCCAACAGGCCTGAGTCAGGGCCCAGGCTATTGCAAAGGCCTTGGATCTGTGCGAGTACCTGCCCTCTACCCTTCCTGGGCTCCTAACCAACTGATGGACAGACAAAAGAAAGCTCAGAGGCTCAGAGACCTAAGGGGAAAGCAGCCAGACCCAGATACCTCCAGGAGCTGCTGAGCAAGACTGCACCTCAAGTTCCTCCCCAAACCTCGGCTCAATGCATGCTGCCCTGCCTGGGACTTGGGACTAGACTACTACATTATATACAGGGTGTTGATGGCGACTGCCTCAAGAGTGTTATTGTGTTCTACAGGCTGAGTCTGTGACTCCAGGGAGGAGGGTTCCATCTGTGACCCCCAGCTCTGCAAACAGAGCTTTCAGAGCTGGAGTTTGTGTAGCTCCCTCTCCTCCCCACAGAGCCCCCGCTCTCCACTGCCTCTTTGGCTGAGACCCCCCACAGCGAGGGCCCCATCTGCTGGAGGCTCGGTGACCTGTGTCAAATGAGCAGGCGCTTGGTCACACTCCAGAGCCTGGAGGAGGCAGCCCCACTCTGGAAAAGCTGTGCAGCTCCTTCCTGCCTGGGGGCAGGCTGGGCAGGGGCCCCACTGGGGAGGGAGGCCCAGGGGCTGAGCCTGGCAGCCGCCTGCCTGGGAACTGCCCTCCACAGACAAGGAGAATGGGGGCAAAAATATGAAAAGAAAGCACTTCCCTAGCTCCTTGTGACTAGCATTGCCACTCAGCTGTGTGAACGAAATTCTGGGCTAAAACAGCTCCTTCTTGCTGTCTGGGGCCTTGTGCTGATCTAGCAGTTCCTTCAGAGAGTGGATATGGATGTCTGTGTGTCTACAAGATGGGGAGGGTGCTCTTGATACCTGAGTATCTGGGTGGAAGAGTGCATGGCCAGCTCCATGTGAAGGTGTGCCTATTAGTGTAACAATGGCACGAGGCAGCTGAGAGTCTTCATGTTTGTGACCGCACAACCTGTAGATCTTATGTATCTCAATGTCAGCGAAGGAAGGCCTACTTGGACCTATATGACAGCTCTGTGTCCATCCCATTTAGACACATGCCTGTGTTTATCATTAGTTGCTTCTTTGTGTAACTGAGTATCAGCCTAGTGATGCAGGTCCACATGTTACTGTTGCAGATCAGTAATGTTCGTCCCTGCGTTAAACTGCATATCTGTGTCCATGTGTCCTGTGTGTATGTGAATGCATACACTGACCGTTCAGTCTCTGCACAGATCAGGAGGGTATCCATGTATACACCTGTGGCTGTGTGTTGTGGTACAAAGATGAGCTCTTCCCAGGGTCTGTGAAGGTGGGTACTCCTAGAGAGAGGGGCCATTCAGCTGCAGGTGTCTGCCATGGTCATGTCACTGCCCCATGTCCCACACAGAATTTCCAGGAACAAGAGGAGGAGGATGTTATGACTTTCTGGGGGAAACTTAACTCCCAAGAAATCTGTGACTCAAGACCATACCCAGGTCCTTGTAGAGGGTCTAAAATTTCCAAAGCAGAAAAAGGAATTTTACCCTTCCTTGTTCATATTGCTGCCCACCCCAGGGCAGTGTCTAATATGTAAAAGACATTTAAAGTATGTGCTTATTACATCATTGGAGCCGCGGAGCAATCCTGAGATTCAGGCATGACTGTTCCCATTTGAAAATGAAGATACTGAGGCTCCAAATAATTTACAAAAAGTCACTGGCTGCTAAAGGGGGTGATGGATTGGGGAGTGAGATATGCTGGGTAACCTGAGAGCCTGGCTACTGCTCTGCTGTACACAACCCTCAATTCAGCACAGACCTGAAACTACATCTTTCAGAGAGTCAACCGGCCCTGGCATGCCCCTGAGAGCAACTGGAGATAGGGTTCTCTTTGCCCTGACAGCCAAAACCACCACCTCTGTAGACAGCCTTCCCCCAGCCCCCAGGAATGGAGAGAAGGATGAGTGGGAAGGCATGGGCAAGTCTCACTTCCCTCATCTACATAGTGAGATTACTGATCTCACAGGGATAAGAGGAGGTACAGGCAAAAGGATGGATGTACTTTTTAAAGCATCATGCCCATTGGTCACTGTCCTCCAAGCCTTAGTTTCACCCAAAAATCTGGACATCAAAACACTTGTCCACTGTCCAGACAATTCCCATCCTCCAAAAGGAACAGAGACAGATTTATAGGTCCACAAACCATCAGAGCTGGAAGGGTGAAAGAGGTCAAGTAGTCTAAACTTCCATAATCCCACTCCAGAAAAAGGAAATTGGGATTTTGTTGGAGATAAAAAGTACCTTGCCCACCCACTGAACCAGAGAAAAGCCCTTTCTTGGAGAATTTTACTCCTATTTTCTTTTTCTTTTTTTCCACGCTCACCTCCCCTACTCCTATTTTTTTATCCCACTGTCTGTTTACCTTAGTGAGATGAGAGGGCTGTTTATGGTACCGTTATTCCCAATTTACAGGAAGGAAAAACCACTGACCAGAGTTACTCCTGCCTAGAAAGATAGTGGCAACTCCAGGTTGGAAACCCAAGCTTCAGTATGAAGTAAGAGAGAGAGTGTGAGAAGAGACTTCACTGCAGAACTCCTAGTGTTGGTCCTACTTCCTGAGTCTGGGAGAGAGGCCAAAAAGGCAAGTAGACCAGGAGAGCCTGAGCTGCCTCAAGGTGACCACTTCTCAGGCCAGAGTCCAGAAAGGCCCAGTATCCCTAGGTGCATTCAGACACAGGGATGCATCACAGCTCCTGCAGCCAGAATGGGACCTAAAAGGATCTGTCCTGAGGACAGGGCCAATAGCCAGACAAGGACCCTGCCCTGTCCTACTCTGTCCCTTGGGGAATAGCCAGAGGCTGGACTTGGGACATTCGGAGTTCAGATGAACACAATCTGTGCTCAGGATAACCCTTGTCACTGTCAACTTTCTGCCAACCACCCTTGGATCATCCCCACAGCAGAGTCCATCACCTCTTCACACACTGAAGTTTCATTCCACAGTGCTGACCTGCCCAGTAGGGCCCTAACTAAGCCCCCAGCCTAGCTCTTTGATCAGGTACCTCAGGACCCTGGAGTCTATAAATCCGTCTGAGTCAAGAGCAGAGGCAGGAAAGGACTGGCAGTGGAAGATTCGCCTGGGAAACAGGGAGAAGCATGGGGCTGGCTGTGGAGTAAGGAGGAACACAAGCTTCAGCTGAGGTCCAACGCCACTCAGGATCCTTCAGGGAGCCCTCAAAGAGCTTCCGGGAAGAAGAGATGGCCGAATTCCACTGCCCACCTTTTCAACAAGGACTCCTCAATCTCATTTCCCTTTTGAGCAGCCCCAGGCAAGTCCAGATAAACTCCAGCCCAGGGCTCCGCGCTAGGCTGGACAGCTCCCAGCCTGCACTCTGTATTTCTGGAGTGTCAGCTGCCCTTCTGAGTCCATGCCACTCGTCTCCTACAGCAAGTTTCCCCGCGGCGTGACCACTCCATGACCACCGCCAATGAGGCATTCAAACTGGGAGGAAAAGGAGCGAATGACTACAACAGCGCAGGACAGGGCCCCGTGTCCATCTCTCCCACCCCTCGCTGGTGGTGTTTTCCCCGGAGCCAGTATCCACCTTGAGGTCCTCTCATTTTGGAACCCCGGAACATGGAGGGGTTAAGGGAGCCCGCGTCTCCGCGCAGAACCGCTGCCGCCCGCTGTCCCCGCGCGAAGCCACCGCTGTACTCACCTAGACTCGGTGCCCGAAAGGAAGGCGTGACGGTGCGAGGCGTGAAGCCTGAGCCTATCGGATTCTGCCCGCGCCCCACTCGCTTTCAAGGCCGCAGAGGTTCGCACAGTTGTGACGCCGAGTCTACAGGGAGAAGGGGGAAAACCAAGACCTGCCAGGCAGGCGCGCAGAGGAGCTGCTCGTTGCAACCTAGAAGCCGCGATAGGCGAGGCAGGAGAGGGGAGCAGCTGCGCCAGAACCGAGCCGAGAACCCGAGCCGCCTCACGCTCTCAGCAGCCGAGACCCGCGGGAATCCTGGCCCGCAGTCAGCGACACTGCGGAGGGAAGAGTGAGGTGCTGAGTCGCTGCTTCGGAGCCCGAGCGCCTCCCGGAGCCCACAATCCCCGCGGTCCCGGTGGGATGCAGGCGGGAATTCAGCTCATGTGGAATATGGGACCGGCCGGGCTCCGAGTCTCCAGCGCTGGGGGAAAGCCGGGCCCACGCAGCCAGGACGAGAGGGGGTGCGGTCCCAGTGCCACCCCCGCGCCACTCCCCACGTGGCGGCCGCGCCCCCGGGGCGTGAATGTGTACGCGGACGGTAGGGGGGCCATGAATGAAGCCCCAGCGGCCAATCAGCACGGCCGGCGCGCGGGACCCGGGGAGAGAGGCCCAATGGCGAGCTCTGGGCTGCTGGACCGGGAGGCTGGCAGGCGCAGGGGGCGGGGGCCCGGGCCGGGGGGCGGGAGGCGGCTCCACGGGCAGCCAATGGGCGGCGGATGGGGTGGGGCTCCGGAGCGCCGAGCGGGTCCGGGCTTTAAGCCGGCAGAGCGCGGCGGCGGGGCCCGCAGACGGAGCGAAGCGGCGGCGGCGGCGGCGCGGCGCAGGGCGCGGGGCGACATGGCCACCACCGCGCAGTACCTGCCGCGGGGCCCCGGCGGGGGAGCTGGGGGCACGGGGCCGCTCATGCATCCAGATGCCGCGGCGGCAGCGGCCGCGGCGGCAGCCGCTGAGAGGCTGCACGCGGGAGCCGCGTACCGCGAAGTGCAGAAGCTTATGCACCACGAGTGGCTGGGCGCGGGCGCGGGCCACCCCGTGGGCCTAGCGCACCCCCAGTGGCTACCCACCGGAGGAGGAGGTGGCGGCGACTGGACCGGTGGTCCGCACCTGGAACATGGCAAGGCCGGCGGCGGAACCGGCCGAGCCGACGACGGCGGTGGCGGCGGCGGAGGTTTCCACGCGCGCCTTGTGCACCAGGGGGCGGCTCACGCGGGTGCGGCTTGGGCGCAGGGCGGCACGGCGCACCACTTGGGCCCAGCAATGTCACCGTCGCCCGGGGCCGGCGGGGGCCACCAGCCCCAGCCGCTCGGGCTGTACGCTCAGGCGGCCTACCCAGGGGGCGGCGGCGGCGGCCTGGCCGGGATGCTGGCGGCGGGTGGCGGCGGTGCGGGACCGGGCCTGCACCACGCGCTGCACGAGGACGGCCACGAGGCACAGCTGGAACCGTCGCCGCCGCCGCACCTGGGCGCCCACGGACATGCACACGGACATGCACACGCGGGCGGCCTGCACGCGGCGGCGGCGCACCTGCACCCGGGAGCTGGCGGTGGTGGCTCGTCGGTGGGCGAGCACTCGGACGAGGATGCGCCCAGCTCGGACGACCTGGAGCAGTTCGCCAAGCAGTTCAAGCAGCGGCGCATCAAGCTGGGCTTCACACAGGCCGACGTGGGGCTGGCGCTGGGCACGCTGTACGGTAACGTGTTCTCGCAGACCACCATCTGCCGCTTCGAGGCCCTGCAGCTGAGCTTCAAGAACATGTGCAAGCTCAAGCCGCTGCTCAACAAGTGGCTGGAGGAGACCGACTCGTCCAGCGGTAGCCCCACCAACCTGGACAAGATCGCGGCACAGGGCCGCAAGCGCAAGAAGCGCACATCCATCGAGGTAGGGGTTAAAGGCGCGCTCGAGAGCCACTTCCTCAAGTGCCCCAAACCCTCGGCACACGAGATCACCGGCCTGGCTGACAGCCTGCAACTGGAGAAAGAGGTGGTGCGCGTATGGTTCTGCAACCGGCGGCAGAAGGAGAAGCGCATGACCCCCGCGGCCGGTGCGGGCCATCCGCCCATGGACGACGTTTACGCGCCTGGGGAGCTGGGGCCGGGCGGGGGCGGCGCGTCGCCGCCCTCAGCACCCCCGCCACCCCCGCCGGCCGCGCTGCACCACCATCACCACCACACACTGCCCGGCTCGGTGCAGTGACCCTCCGGGCTGGGCCCCCACGGCGCGCGGCGAGGCGCGGACGCGCAATCCGCCCGCGCGGCCTGGACTCTTTTTGTTCGGTTGCATTGGATTTTACAAAAAGCCCAGAAACTTTCGAACAAAACCAAACACCCGGACGACCCTCTCCGGCGAGTGGCGAAGACAGCCGTTAGGCTGTGTCGCCCGAGCCCTGAGAGAGAAAAACGAAGATCCGGAACGCGCCAACTCACCCTGGGCATCCTGCCCGCCGCCTGCTCCCCGCCCCCATCCCCTCGACGACCCCAGCCCCTGCCCCCCCGGGCTGTTCGGGGCCGGATCCCGGCAGCGGTCTCCCCACAGCGACAGGTAACGCGGTGCGGGGTTAGGGATTCCCTGGGAGAGAGGACGAAGAGAGGAGAGTTCCCCATCCCCTCTCCCGGGCGCGGACTCCCGAGCCTGCGGGTCAAGGCGGGGGAGGGGGGCTGTCACTTTATTCGCTCCACGCCTCTTTCTCTCCCATAAGGATGCTCCCCATCCCTCTTCCCTTTCTCCGGGCTTGGTTTTTTACGGTTTTTATTTATTCGTGGGGCCTCTCGGCTTCCTGGGGGTCCTTCTAACTCCGCCCGCGCCCTTAATTTAAATCGCTGTATACTGTATTTATCGGGCCCCCGGAGGGGAGGCCGCGAGAGCCGCGTCTGTGTATAAAAGCAGGAAATAGCCAAAGCTTTAATCTAGCCTAATTTATTTTTCCCCTTACCGTCCCCTACCCGCCCCCCCAAAAAAAGCAAAACAAAAAACAAACAAAAAAACCTAACAAAAAATTTCGAGTGTTCATTTTTCGTTTCGTTTTATCCGAGCCCCGGCTCAGTTCTTGGCCTCGCCCGAGGGTTCCGTGCTCCCCCACACAGCGGATGGGAAGGGGCTTCTCCTCGCTGCAGACTAACCACCGCACCGCGGGGACCCGCTCCCCGCCGGTCCCTGCCCTCCAGGCCATAACGAACGAAACTTGGAAAAGTTGGAGATATTTTTTAACCAGCTGTAGAAATAAGCCGTTCCCCCGAGAACCTTCTGCCTGATTCCCTCCAGCTTCCCTCTACTCCCTTTCCAGCCTCGGGGGATGCGGGATGCTGGGGGAGCCCGGGAGAGAAATTCCCGAAGTTTGGGGTGAGGTGGGAACCATGTAAATATGTAAGATATTGTACACACTGGCGGGGGGGGAAAAAGAAACATTTTGTGCTTGGTTTTTATTTTTTTGGTTTTCTGGGTTGTCATCCCTCCCTATCCAAAAGGATTTTGTATACCCGACTAATCCGAAAAAAAGATATTTTAATATGATTTCCTGATTTCTGACCCATCTCTATTTATTTTCTGGATGTGTTTGGAGCTTCCCCTTTCTCCATTTCTTCTTCTGTTATGGTTTGAATTTAAATTTTGTTATTTTATTTTTTATTATTTTTGGAACAATGTTCTGGTGCATTCTCTTTGTATCTTTATTGCAAAAAAATAATGTAATAGCTGTGGCTGACTAGGGGAGGCTGGTGCTCGGGGAACGGGTTTTCCCTTTAATTGCGTAGGTAGATGGATGGGGTCAGTAGATATTGAGGATTGGTTGAGTAAAATAAGTTTTGATGTTATTACTTGCAGATCCAAGAAACAGTCGTACGCCAGTTATATACAGTCATGATAGTGCAGGTGGGTGCAGTCGTCTGTTTCAGTGTTGGTTTCTGTTAGCTCTCCTTCATCGTGAGCATCGGGAGATGGTTTGTTACGCGTTGAGGTTAGAGCATCAATGTATCAAACTCGTGATGATGTATCTGGTCTCACCTCCCTGAAGTTCTGGCCACCCTAAAAAGGGAAGGGAACCACACTGACCTTCTTCAGGTCAATATCAGGACGGCCTATTACTTGATCGGCAGTTCGGTGCCCGCCTTGGTGCATCTGTCTAGGGAAGAGGCACCCACCTCATGTCCTCCTCCCATGAACCTAGACCAGGGCCTAAGACAGTGACCCACAGACACCACACACAACTTGGGTCAGCCATTTGTCAGACACAACATGACTGCTCTTCTCAGCCAAGGAAGAAACGCATCTTGGCCTGGACCACCAGCCTAGAATCTCTGTATCCCCTGCCTGACACCCCAACCCTTAACTTTAGTTTCAGTTCTTTGCATTTTACACCAAGTGTGGGTCTGAGGCCAAAGTCACCATTACTAGTCCTAGGCCTACTAGGGACACTACTCAGGCCTCTTACACCATCTCTGTCCCCAACTGATTTTACCACCATGACATATTCGAGTGGTGCCCAATCCCACCTGAATCCACTGGGCACTCAGCCTAGACTGAGGTCCATTTAGTGGTTCTGCAGCACCGAGTCAGCCTGGGAGGGAGCTCTGCCTGTTTTCGTGGCAAAACCAGTCTCCAAACGAACCACCTGCCCCGACTTCTCTTGGAGAGAAGTGGGGCACAAGCAACTGTGCCACCAGAAAGACTTGATCTTATCTCCAAGGATGGGTACCCAAGGACCTTCCCTACCACCACCACCACAAGGAGTTATGCATATGCAGGTGGGAAGAAGGACTGTGCCAATGTAGACTTTACAGCGTGCCCTGGAGAGAGAGCATAAGCATTCTGAGATGGTCCCTCTCAAACTGTCAGCAGAAGCATCCCCTGAAAGTCAGGCTGGGGACAGATCTGGCCAGTCCAAAGGCTAAGACCACCTGCATTCCAGTGAAGGTCTTATTTTTTCCTTTAAAACAACGCTTCCTGTTTCCTACGTGGCTGCAGTTCTTTTCCCTTCTCGGGAGAAATCATACCAGGTTTCTCTTATTCTTTGTGGTGCCAAAGCTTGAAGGCACGATCACTTGGTTGGGGAGAAAGTTGTGTCTGTAGTTAAAGGGTATATGAGGCCCCCATATGCCCCGGAAGCTGCCCAAGTCCAGGCCTGTGAGCTCCTGGCTCTAGCTAATGGCATAAGTGTGTTCCAGGAACCCCAAGTTGGTGGTACTTAGCTGGGCTGGGGTCTCACAAGGACTGTGCCAGGCTAATAGTTCCTGATGGTTTTGGGGGCTTTGCCCCTCAGTCTTGGGGTAATTGTCTCTGCAAGTACAAAGGCTGCCTCATTTTTCAAACGCTCATCCTCTCACTCCCTGCCCCCCCTTTTTTCCTCATTTAGTCCATACTAGTGATTGAATAGCCCTGTGATGGGCACCTGTGTTCCTGCTGTTTTCCATATTAGCAGGCCAGGGAGCCTCCTTGCATTTTTTGAGGAGGAAGCTGAGAACTTGATGGCCAGTAGGGTTATGGCACAGGGAGCCAGTAGCCACCAAACCTCATCTCTCATTTCCTATTCCACTACGTACAAAACTTCGAAGCTGTCCCATACTTCTCCCCACTTCCTTATTTCTCCATTCCCAGATTTGTCCTGGCCTCAAGGCCCTGAAGTAGATGCAAATGAAACTCAGGGCTCACTACCCCACCAGCCCAGAGTCTCAGCAGGTTTTGAGGTTGGAAAGAGCTATGGGAAGACAAGGCCTTTCACTGGCCTCTTGCCTGCAGCTGACACCAATTGATTGATTGATTTCCTAATTGTCTGCTTAATCCTGTACAAGAGGGTGGGTTTTTTATTTAAGCAAGTCAACTCAAAAACAGCAAAACAATGTGGCCTCCCAAGAACAAGCTGCAGCTGAGGAGTAGAACAAAATGAAAGGAAAAAAAAAAAAGGTGGAAAAAGGGATGGAAGAAAATCTTCCACTTTGCAAGAATTTCACTTAATGAGACACCAGCCTGGGACAGTGACCCATCCCTTGGTAGTAGAAAGCCCCAGGGCTACCTCTTCCTCGGAGAATCATAGGAACCTTGGTGCCTCTTCTTTATAAGGAGAAAGCCAGACAGAGAGATATTTTCCCCTGGATTCTTAATAGAGTTGAAGAGAGGCCTGGCTAGCTATGGACTTGCCACAGTTTCTCCATTCCACTTGTATGTGTATCTGCCTGCTTGCTTGGGGGAGCCTCAGATTCCCATTCGTTTGAGAGGCACGTCTCTAGCATTAACTTTTAAAGAAGCCCAAGCTTTCTGTAGAAAATTTGGAATTTTCTAACCCTATATTCCTTCCCTTCACACTTGAACAAAAATATTCACTATTTCTCGTAATCATGCAGTCACAAGTTCTGTTAGTTAGAACTTCACTCTCCCCATGGGAATATCTGCATGTTGGTAGAAGAATTTGTGTGTGTGCCACTGTGTGCACAAATCCACAGCTGATCTGAGAGATAGGAGCGGGGAAAGAAAATGATCTGAGCTGGAAGAACATTTGTGGGTGAGGGTTGGCAAAACTGCAAAGAAGGCAGGTAACTGTCATGGTCACCTGTGGTCATCCAGACAAACCTGGAAGGAACCTGGCCCTGAGCCTCAAGAATATAGATATTCTGCCCCACCTCCTGCCCTAGGAGATTGCCCTAGCTTTTATGTTGCATGGCATAGGTCCTAGGAAATCAACCCTTGGCCCTCGTACTTGATTGGGTGTCCATGGCTGCCTACTTCAAGCTATTTGGAACTTAGCTGCCCCTGGAGAGGCTCTGGGCTTGCATAGGAGAAGATCAATTCTGCAACCCAACCAGGGATAGGCTGCCTCCCCCCAGAACTTTCCCCAACTGAACATAAGCTCCAGAAAGAAGAGCCATCTAAGCAGGGATAGACCAAAAGGAGATTGGTCATCTGGCCCAGCTGTCGCCCATCCCAAGTTTAGCCAAGATGATCAACCTAGAACCTCCAGCTTACACTAAGGCCAGAAGCAGCTGGAGGAGCAGTCCATTCTGTCCCTGCCTTGTAGTATTGGAAGGCCCCAGGGTTAATGTTCGCAGGGCCATTCAGGGCTCTCCCCTTGCTGCCTCTGAGAACTCCATGTGGGAGGACTGCCCTCTATTGGTCTCTGAGCTGGGTTATGGCAGCAGTCACCAGCACCACCTTGAAGTTGAGTTGTGCCCCCAAATCAGCTTCAAAGTGGCTACTCTATGGGATATGCCAGCTAGAACAGAGACACTCTTAGCCCCCCACCCCGAAAGGAAGTGATCAGGCTTCACATACATACACACACATACACACACATGCTTTCTTGTCAACCTTTCC